TACACCAGTGGGAGTTTGTAGAATGTATTTGGTTAAGGGTTGTGTATCGTTTGGTCAGGTCTATGCAATTTGTAAAAGGTTATTTATTAAAGCTGTAAATAAATGTGAGTATAAAAGTGCAGAATATTTGTGTAGTTATTGGTAGAAAGTGTTAAAGGAAAATCAGATTTGATAGTATATAATGCTGAAGCTAGTGAAGTGTCAAGGTGACAAAAGTCGTGGAACATCATACGATGAAAAGTGGTAATTTCAGTGGTGCAATAAAAGTTTTCAGGTGTAGTAGTGCATAATAACATTCCTACTACGCTTCATTATAGACTGCTATCTACCAGGCCTTTTCCTCAATAGCATATTGAATCATAACTCTTTTTAAAGTCTTTGCTTAAAAGAGTATTTGTATCATTGAGGCACGAGATGAACTTGTTCATTGTGTAACACCAAAGTTGATGAAGCTATATCCTTGTTAGGGTGGCACACGATGTTTAGAAATGTACCTTTTAACAGTTTGATGTTTACTCACACTTCATACCTCAATATTTATGATTTAATTTATGCAACTAAATAGAATACATCTAGTTTGTTATAGTAGACTGTTCCTTAGCTTGAATTTGTTGCCTTCAGCTACAGAATAAAGTGTAATCATCACTGATTACAAATGTGGAACAACTTTAACTCTGTAACAAGGAGTATGTATAACCAAATTATCACTGGGGTATAGAATTCCTGTTTCTTAGTTTATAAGTAAAGTGTTTAGGATTATATGAACATGTTAATTGCTAATAACATTAAACTACTATGTTTTTTATGCTATGGTTACAATAAAATCTGTATGCTCAAAAAATATTCACAGTTTTAGCTTTTTTTTATATTCTTAATATAATTCACCTTTTCAAAGATGTGTGTTTTGTTTCAATAATGGTTTTGTTTTACTTACAGGGATGCGTACTCAGTGTTTTCTCTGTGAAAGATGGTTTTCTTCAAACTCCAACATGAGAAGGCATATTCGAGATCAGCATAACAACTTGGCCATCCATAAGTGTCATATCTGTGAGAAAGCATGGTCAAGACGAGATAAACTAAGAAGACACATGCGAGGAGTTCATCAAATCATTAACTGCTGACATAAGTGTATATATAATAGCATTGGTAATACTGGAACTGTTTGCATTGATTGTGGTGCCAATAACAACAAATGCATATAGACACTGAAAGTACGAAGACTTCTTTATCAAATAATGTTCTAGGTTCTGATGAAAGTCATATTTCTCTTTCCCTTGTTATCTCACTGACATGTTATTTTAACCATTTGTGAAAAAGGTTTTGTATTTTTAATGCTTATGTATATATTATTTAGGTAGTATTAGTATAAGATTTACATATAGCAGTTGTTGTTTTTTCCTTCTAATATTCACAGTGGTATTTTTCTACAAAGTACTGAAGTGTGATATTTTTTGTGTTTAAAGCCAAGCTTTCTCTTAGCATCTCATATTCTAAATGGTATTTATACCTTGTATGTATGTAAATACAATTTTGTTCTAGTTACATTTCTATTACTTTGTTATTTAAGAAACCTAATCTTTCAAATGTGATGCTACTTGTTGTTTTTTGTCCTTGTAAACTTTCCCATGCAAGAGTAAGGCTAATAACAAATTAAATCAGTGTTTCATCCTTGCACAGTGTTATAATATTGTGTATTGAATATTGTATTAATATACATAGGCTAGTTTGGGTATAGAGAAAGCTGAAATACCAGTTGCAAAAGTATGCACAATTAGGATCAATATTTAGGGTAACACAGAATAGCAAGGTACACACACTAAAGCTAAAAGCATATAACTTTAGAAGGTTTGACACTATCAGAATTATAACATTTTTTTCATTGACACACACTAAAGCTAAAAGCATATAACTTTAGAAGGTTTGACACTATCAGAATTATGACATTTTTTTCATTGACACACACTAAAGCTAAAAGCATATAACTTTAGAAGGTTTGACACTATCAGAATTATAACATATTTTTTTCACTGACAGAGAAAAACTATATCAGCACAAGGTAAAAGCAAAACATTATCATAAATTTAAAAATGCACTACAAGACATCCACAATATGAAATAACAATTCAGGGTGAAAAAATTTAATAGGAACTTTAACTTTTAACTACTGTTCTGACAGAAAAAATACACAAAGCATTGTATATGCAAAAAATATTTCTAAATGTGCAAACACTCCAACAGATCTATGTAGCTTAAAGGAAAATTATTTAGTTAGTGTGTGAAACATTTCTCAAAACAATAGGTATAAGTATTAGCTTAAAAAACAAGCTTAAAAATGGTAAATATAAGGTTGATTTTAAAAAATGTGAGATTGCTGGTTGACTCTGTGGTAGAGATTTGAATTTCAAAGCTAGTGAGCCTGGTTTGAATGTATGCAATACCACAAAGTATTTCCTGCACTTTAAGCTGTTGGTGCATTACAAAAGTCACAGTCAATCCCTTAGGATGGATGGTGGGTACTGTTGACTGGCTTGCCTTCCCTCTAGTCAGTAGTTCAAAATTATGGATGGTAGCAGATATTAACGGCTTTACGATAAATACAAATAAATAAACATATGGTGTAATACATTTATTGAATGTTTTCATTCGGTTTTTTATTAAGGTAGTATCAAAAACAACTTTTAAAGTTAATGTGTTTTTTCTGACTTAAGTTAGAAGTCTCCTCAAGTTACAACTTTTTATATTCTGTTAAAACTTAAGGTTAGCTAATTAGTTACTTTTAAATTGTAATAGATTTTATTTTTGTCATTGTATCAAAATATAAATTCATTAAAGGTATGGAGGTAACATGCTTTTTTAACATGAAAACATTAGTTTTTTAAGATATATTTCAAATAGTATCTAAATTCATTATAGTGAATAGTAAGCCTTTGGTATGCTTATGTTTTTTTTTGACAAACAAAGAGCATTTATATTTAGAAATTTATTTACTACTTAAATGGTGAATTTTTTTGTGAATTGATATTCTTATACTTGGATTGTGGCTAGTTTTGTTGTAAAACTGTGTAGTTTTATCTATGTTTTTAGCATTTCTAACCTTTAAACACAAAAAAAGGCACAATGTTTTGATTGTTTTAAAAATTAACTATTATAATTTTAAGTTATCAGTATTAAATTGTTTTGAATAAATAACTTTTATTACCTGCATAAATGAAGCATTTTATTTTACAGAGGACATTTACATAAACACATTTTTCTTAAATTGTGATATTTGACTTTAAAATGATGGTTTAGAAATTATTCACATGTAAATTTTCCTCTATTTTTTTAGGTTAGGTGATTTTTCATTACATAGATGTGTTGTTGAATCTTATTAAGTTTAGCAGTTTGGTTTAAATAGAAAAAAAACTGGTAGAAACATATACTTAATTCAATCCTAGTTCTGTTTTCAAAAGAGGTGACAAAAAGACTTCAATAAAGTAAAAATTCATTGATGTTATACCAGTTAAGTTTTGTTTAAAATTTTCTTTGTGTGAATACGTAGAAATTTGATAAAGGTCAAATTTCAAGACTGTTTTGTTTTTCTAAAGAAATTTAAAAATATTTTGGTTTCCAAATCAACAAACAGTTTTCAAAAATCTTTAAAATAACTTATTAGTGATAGCTTATTAAGTTCTAATTTGCAGTTTTATAAATCTGATAGTTACATTAATGTGAAAATAGATTCTTTTGTTTTTCTTTCAATGCCAAGCATTTTGTTTCAGAATCTATGTTTTCTTGATTTGTTGCAGGTGAAAATTGCAATAGTAAATATGCTTGCTCATGTTTTTACTGTTCTTGGTAGAAAACATCCAGTGAGATGATATATCATTGTTTTTATTAACTTTTAATTCTAATGGAATTTCAGTAAATTCAGAGAAAAGGAGTTTGGATCAGACAAAATTAAATAACCAAGAAAGTTTTATGACAATTTTGTTAAGAGTTTGATTACAGAATGACATCTTGCATAGAAAACACTATTGTGATAAACTGATTTCTGACTGAGATGTTAGCTTGTAAATAAGATATATATATATATATATATATAATCGTTTACGCCGTTAACATCGCATGTTGCTTCTGTTATGTAATTTGTAGAAATTACAAGGTTGTGAATAAATTGGGCTTGTGAATGATGTATGTATTCAAAATAGTGTGAAGTAAATGCTTTGATGAAAGAACATTGACAGTTTACATACAGAAAAATCATACTTCAAAATGTGCATTATACTTCATGTGTTCCTTGATTTGGGAGATAGTTTTTAAAGTGATATTCCAGTAACTATATATATATACACACACACACACACACACACACAACATCATGTGCATACAAAATAGATTATGCATTTTTTTGAGAAATATTCAAAAATAATAACATGCATTCTTTTAAGCTTTTGGAAAATAGAGGTGTTCTTAAAGATCTAGCTTGTCACATAATTTTGGGTTACTTAAGATAACAGTTTACTGAACACACAAACAGTTCTCATGTCTTATGTATGAATGCTGTATTACTAAACAATGAAAATTTACTTTATTTGATGTATTTAGAAATACTTAAATTTCAATAAATTAACCATTGAAATGATTTGTTTTCAAAATTATTAATATTTTGTGATGTGAGGTGTGCAAGATTACTTTCACCCAAAGCTGTGGAAGTGTTTATATCCCTTAGTTCTAAGGTATGTTTCTTTTAAAGTGATAAATTAATGCATAATGTTGAGTATGCTATAGCATCAAATTATTAATCCTGAAGTACTAAATGTATTTATTAAGGAGTTGTACTTCTTTCAAGATGACTATGATAACATTTCTTTTTAGTGCTAATTGATAATCATGTATATTAATGAAATCAGATTTTTTTTTCAGACAGTATAATTCCCTATTTCTTACTTAAGTAGATAAAGCATATAATGAGAAATTACAGGTTTTTTAAGTTTTTAATATCTATCATTTTTATATAGAACATAAAGAAGAATTTGTCTTGGAATGTGATATTTGCCACTACAGCATACCATCATACCGAGAATACTCTTTTCATAGACAACTTCATCTTTCTCAGCCTCAAGGTTTTGTTTGTCACTTATGTTACACTGTAATCAGCAGGAAAGATCACTTGTTACGTCACATGAGAACCCGTCATCCTCCAAGTGGAGAGTTCCCAGTTTGTACAATTTGTTCCAGATCATTCCGAGGCAGAAAATCCCTAGCTCGCCATATGCGTGCTCGTCACGTACAGTTATCGGCCAGAGGAGATGGAAAAGCAAACCCAGTAGTGTTGAGTACAACTGAAAAAGTTGAAGATGGTTTCACCGGTGACACCAGTACATTTATTGGACCATTTGAAAATAACTAATGACTAGATGTTGAAAAAAAAAAACTGTGGTTAAGGAGTTTCCTGTTTAAATAGCATCTGGTTGAAAAAATATATTCACCATATATATATATATATATATATATATACACACACACACGTCTGTTGTAAAGTTTTTGTGGTAACTAACTGAAAGATGCAGGTGGTGTTTTAATTCTTAAATAGAAATAATTTAGTATTTAAGGCCTTATCAGGTAACACCTTTGAATATTGAAATATTCACAGTATAGTTTGTTGAATTTTAAATTGATAGCATATAGAGTGATATGAATGTGTATGAAGTATTGTACTTAACATATGATGTAAAGGTAATTTTGGGTATATTGAAAAACTAAAGTTTCTGTGCATTATTAATGTTTTACCATATATACATATAATTCTCATGATTTACTGATTAACTTTTTAAGAATTCATGATACTTTAAAAACAAATAGGATAAAAATATAGATGAATAAAAAACAACAACAAGGCAAATGCTTTCACAAATAACTTCTCTTTCCCTAAAAAATTTATACTTATAAAGTTATACTTGCAAAAAGTCCCTGATTTGTCTAACTTTGAATTGTCCTATAACCACTATTTAAATAAAGGAACAAAGTAAACCAAAAGTGTTATTATGCCTAGTTATGAGAGAAGGCTTTGTTTTATATTTTTAGGCTTTTTATCTTCTATATTTTATCTTGTATGATTTGTATGTGCTTCATTCACTCAACTACACAAAAGATGATTTATTTTTGAAGTACCGTATTTTATATCTTCTATTATCTGGTTGTTAAAGTTGAATTATTTGTATATTCTTTGAGTTTGCAAGAATAAGGCAATATCAATAATTATATCCTTTCTGAAGGTCATAATGAAAATATCAAACTCCATGTCAAAACTTTTATAACCACCCTATCAGTTCACCATGCAACACAGTTCGAAAATGAATATTTCCCATTCTTCTCTGAAAGTTTCTAGTATTTTTTTCCAGTCTTTTAACAATCTGACTCTGTAGAAGTAATTGTGTAGCTAGTATGATATACTGTGAAAGTTTGTAACGAGTTTCTCTGGGATACCAGTGATTATTAGTGGTTTCATACCTGTTGCAGTTAGCATTATTTCTTTAAAGTGAATTTCTCCTGTCTAGTTTATTTTGTCAAACATCAAAATGAAGTTAGTAGTCTTTCACTAGCATATAATTTTTGAGTAAAATTAAATTACCAGAAATCTATCTAGACCTAGCTTTTAGCCTTAATTAAAAAGAATACACTTACTGAAAAAAACAAAGGTCTCACTGAGCTTGAGTTTCTTACAGTTTATTTTTTTGTAAGCTAGGATAATTATTACCTAGTATTTGTAACATCTTGCCTCTGTATGTCATAATGTTTACTTATTTTTAGAGCAGAAGGAAAATAATAGTGTAGTAACTAAGATCACATAAAATTAAAAAGTATTTTTCAATAATTATTTGTATTTCATACATTAATTTTATGAGTCAGTGTATTTTTCTGATTATCTACAGGTAAGAGTAGCCACACATGTAACTAGATGTTCAAACAGGAAAACATTATTGGAGTTAAAGCTAAACATTTGACACTGATTTGGACAAAACAGAGTGAACACATTGTTAAAAATGGTAAAATCATTCAATATTTACAAGTCAAAAATATGGTGGAGTACACAGAGTGCTTTCAGAGATTTTGAACACTGTTTCAGATTGAGAAAGTATGACATTATAAACACAGACATGATTTATTTTTTCATAGTGTAGGTGCTACCCAGTCATTAGTTTCCAAAGTAAAGGTAATAAGACTAACCTCCAGGCATTTGTGAACTTAAACATGGTGGTATTACCAGAGAACCAAAAATCTCCACCAACATTGCAAATGAGAAATGTTTAAACAGATCTAAGGTCGTTACTCAACTTTCCTATGTTAAAAGTTTATAAGCTCTTTCAGATATGTGAACAGTTTTCATAAGATATACATTTTACCTTACTAAGCTGAAAGAGAAGGGAAAATACTGTATTTTCAGATACTAAAACATAAAGGCATTGCTAACAAATGTAAGAAACTGGATATTTTCTAAGTTTCTGTTCCTGTGTTATACAGTAATTATTATTAGAGATCAAACTTATAATTCAGAAAGTGTAAGCTAATTAAAATCATAGTAATGTGAAGTTCTTGATTTGCTAAGCCAAGTGCAAAAAGAACAAACAAAATATTAATAAACCAGTTTATTGTTATGGTTTGAAACATCAAAAACCAGCAAAACAATGGAAGCAATAGGCATAACATTATTGTTGAAAATCACTTCAGACGGATACTATGTTGTAAGAAAAATGTAGCATAATATGCTTTTGATCACTAACATCAAAACAGTTTGTGAATACCAAACTAATTATAATCCGTACTGACTTACTAGATAATCCTCAAAAGTAACAGAAAATGTGAGAAAGAAATAGCTTAATTAGAAATATATTCAACTTTAAACTGTATCAATCTTCTGGCCTGATGTGGCTGTTTGTGTAAATTGTGAATCCAAGGATTTATGGTTTGCAACTAGCTAGTCGTCATTAAAACATGCCCCAAACTTTGTGGTTGTGAGTACTGTTGACTAGCTGTCTTTCCTTTAGGCTGTTAATTCAAAATTAGAGACAGTTACATACAGATAGCCCTTGTGTAGTTTGGCACAAAATTCTGAACAGGATTCAAACTCACGATCTGCAGATTTTGAATCAAGTGCTCTAACCACCAAGCACCCACAGACAAGGGAAATCAATTACACAGATAATAATTACAAAACTGAGGATGTAAAACTCAGGTCAACAACTTAGTTTGAACAAACCAAGAATTGATAGGTAAAATATAAATTGAAGTAAATATTAATGTCATAATAGGAGAAATGAGTAAAATAAAATTATCGAAACAGCAAGCTAGCATTTACAACTCTATCATAGTTAAATAAGTTCTGAAAATTATACATTACACTCAGACAAAAACTACTGTTTAAATTTTAAACATTTATGCAATATTCCAGTTACCATTTATAATTTATATATAGCAATTGTTAATTACAGCCTATACCTGGCTTCATTTTCAGGTTTCCATACAAGCAGACAAATTTCAACTTTTCACTGTCATCCATTAGAGGGCCTCGTTTTTAAACAGTATTTTGTCCCATAGTGGCTCAGCAGTAAATCTGGGGAGTTGTACAAAAAATTGTGTTGTAGAAACAGCACAGATATCCCATTGTATCTTATATGTAACACTGGCACAATGGTGGGCTCTGTCAAAGCAGCCTTTGGTACCTCGGTAATTGTAGCTTTTGCAATCATGAATGTATTATACTGCTCATGTCATGTCGCTCATATTAGTGCTTCTTTAAAAAATTCTGTTTAGGTCATCATTGTTCCATGATTTATTGGCCTTCTGTGATAACTCAGTTACTGGATGCTACTACATGGGTGCACCAGTCTCTTGCTGCCTGACAAAGGTAACAATGTAATTGGGAACTTGAGGAATTTATCATCCATAAATAGACTGTAGTGGTCATCCATTCTCTTGTTATTGGGCGGTCAGACACATTCCAGCTGACTTCAGTAATAAGATAATATGGTCAAGAACTTATCCTTGTATATCAGATTTCATGATTGATAATGCTTTAACAGCCAGGGGTGGTGGACCTAAGAGGCTTGGGGGGGCTAAGCCTCCCAAAATGAACCATCCCTCACAAGCATCATTCTCACCAATTCAAAAATATTACAGTATTTGAGGAAAGAATGATTGAAAGAGGGTTTACAAGAGTCACTGAGGAGAGTTTATTCATTTCGGTACACTAACTGATTCTTTCCAATTGTACAACCTCAAACACATGACAGAATAGCCTACCCAAACAATGGCTTCACTAGCCACCTAGTTAACAGTCTGATTGACCATTACTGAATATTTTTAGAAAATATGTTAATACAGGATTTCAAACAATGAAACAAGTGCTGACCAAGCTTTTCAAATACAAACTCCAAACCAGATTGTTGCTTAGCAACAGCAACTCCCATAATCTAACATATTCCTATGAGATCTATCTTTGTCTGGGTGCTATGGCAAAACTGTGGTTCTAGTAAGAGGGTTAAAAATGGTATGAAACTAATAATAGAGAACCTGTGTCTGAATAAAACTTGGTTAGGGAATCTACAAGAACTGGCCATCACTCCTGATCCTGGGGGCTAATTAGTATAAAGCTGATGTTCAGTAACTTTCCTCTGAATACGTTAGACTCAAAACTGGTTACAGTTGTCTTCTTCTAGCCTAACACAAGTCAGTAATTTGTTTTATCACTTTGTTTAGAGTTAAATTAGAAATATATAAATATTTCTATAATGACAAATTGAAAACATTGGGTGCTGTGAGTGAAAGCAAAATAACAAGTGTTATAAAAAACTAAACACATTCAATATCACCATCAGTAAATCAATGGCCATATCATTTTAAAAAATACCTATGTGTATTAATGGCCATATCATGTTCTCCGATAATGTGGTCCAATCTAATTATAATAATTTCCACCGAAAGTGTGGAGACTCACAAGCTGAACCTACTGTTATATAATGTCAATAAAAACCTAGGGTGCATCATGTTTCCCATTGATGTGGTGTACGCTAAAAGAGGCTAAACTTGACACATGCATATCTTAATATCCTGACCAATTTTCTGTGTTGTTTGTAGGTATTCATGTACGTAATACATCATGTTTAGATACGATCTAGCTATTAATCTATATTAATGTATTATAGCAACATACACAATAAACGTATTTATATACTGTACAACAGCCTGGCAATGACACATACGGTGTTCATAGTTTTGGTCGACTGCTAACACATGTATCGACGCTGTTCAATACTATACTGTTTATTCAGACAACTTTGCTAAATATCCATACACTTTCTGTATGTGTTAACTGGATGCTGCAGGGTTGTAAATGTGCTAATCCTTTTACAAAGGTAAATGTTACATGCTAAAATCTTTTTTTTAAGTTTCAAGGTAACTTATGAATATCTGAATTGACTTCTTCAAAGGTAACCTATTCAAAAGGTGATACAGAAACCTGTACAAACTCACTTGGGATAACAAAATTGTTTGAAAAACCATTGGGTAATATATATGTAATCTAATGACACTAAGGCTTTGACTGTAAAAGTAAGGTATTTTCGTAATTATCATATTTTGGCAGTAGCCTGACAGTAGTTACACAAATAGAAACCAGCTAGCAGTTTTGTAACTTTCACAAATATAAGTGTGAATAAATAGAAAATGTATGTGCTCACTTGTTTTCCTTTGATGTACAATTTTGACTTATTCTAGGAATAATAGTCCTGAACCTAAATTATGTTGATATTTAAACTTCAACTTTTTTTAGTTTCATGGTTGATTGTCTAATATAAATTTCACTATGAAGATCCACTCAGTAGCTTGGAAAAAAGTGCCCAATTCCCTTTTAGCATTTAGATGTTAACAACTGAACACCTACCTCCTTCCAAACTGCTTTGATATAGTGGACTTCAGGTGCCTGTTCCACAAAATTATTATCCAGCTCCACTCTGTAGCTCAGAATATACTGGAATCTATTTCTTGTCGACTTCTAGGTTACCTCAGCCATGTAAGATTGCAACATAGAGTCTCAAAGCCAATCTAATGGCTAATTGGTTTGGTGCAAGCTATATTTATTCAGATATCACTATTATTGCCTCGGCAACCTCATAAACAACTGAATTATTTTTATATCAGCCTATTCTTCTCTGCTGCTTTGTAAACAGCCGGAAAAATACTTTTAGTATCTTGTTCATTATTGGATGGGCCAAGATGACTCAACACAGTACCCTCACTATTCTCAATACCTTCCATTCTGATACCCATTTCTACTAGTAAAGAAGAGGCTTGCCACTGACAAACAGCTGTAATTTTTCAACATATAAAATAGGTTTCACATTTCATCTCATAATTTGATAGACTGAGCTTCCATAGTACAGGATACTGATAAGATCAGCTAAAAGCAAGTTGCTTTCGTGCTACTAGCACACAGCAAAACCATTTTTTACTGTCTTATTATATCTTGATGTATGGCTGATTTAGCCATCTGATGAGCACAAACTCACGTGCATCACCTAGTGCAAACTAAAACCATTTCACGTACTTCTGTGGGCACTAGGACATCTGCACTGGGAAGTAGACAATACATCATATCCCCTACCACCTTAACTTCATGTTTAAACATTAGTTGGGTGAACAACCAGTCAACTGTTTGTTGCTATATATACTAACATACATGCAGATAGCCATCTTGATCAGTTCAGTGAGGATTTAGAAAATTTGCAAACATACATATGACTGTCAGTACAAAATGATAAGACTGAGAAAGATATGCAAATTGTGCATCTTTTTTTACACCTAACTGTTGGTACAATT